CTTCAGAGTACTTGTGTGTGCTATCAGAATGTGTTTTAACAAAATAACTTTGCAAATAAACAACCAGGAAAGTTAATTTACGAACGCCATTTAAATTGAAAAAACTGTCAATAATATTAAAAAGCTTGGACTTTAATTTATCGTGGGGAATGGTTGTGTGTAATGTTGAAAAGTGGTATATTTTTTAAGCTTTTGATTTCGGTAAAAATCGTGTGATTAGAAAATTGTCCAAAAGTTCTTTGGAATTTTTTAGTATCAACATCTTATTCGAACCACTTCTTAAATACTAGTAATTATATTGTTTCACAGTACTCTTGAAGTTTTTCCCTCACTACTGTCTAATTACCACATCTCTACTGGAATCGAAAACTTCATAAAAATCATTTGAAACAAAGGTACATAGCAGGTTCCAATTAATGTTCTATCAAGCCTCTTTCTTTACTCTTACCTAAAATATAACCAGTAGATGAAGAAAAAACATAAGGAGTGCTGTGCAACAATATATTCGAAAAGTGGTGTAAATTATATATGGATGCTTAAATTGAAATTCCCAAAGAATTTTTGGAAATTTTGAAACAAAAAGATTTTACCAAAACCAACGGCTTTTCTGCTTTACACACATCCATTCTCAGCGATAAATTAAAGTCCAGTAGGCTTTCTGATATAATTGACAGCTGCTTTTTAAACAATTTTTTTTAATTTACTCACCTTGTCATTGATCATTTGCAATATCATTTTGTTTAAAACATTCTTATTGTACACATAAATACACACAAGTACTTTGAAGTTCATATTAAAAAGATGATTCTGATTGAGAATATCTACGTGGTTTTTGGAGACCAGGTCTTCGAACAATCAATCTGAATTTCCATGGGTACCAATTGCATCCCGTTATTAGCAGACCTATTTTTGTCTTCATATGAATTAGAATCTGTTTGTCCAAAATCTAATACTTAAAAAGAAAAAAGTTACTAGCTGTGACCTTCAACTTGACATTTAGATATGTCGACGACATATTGTCAATTATCAATGCTTATTTACATTCTTATGTATATCCTGGTGAGCTTGAGATAAAAGAAACAACAGGATCTGAAACATCTGTTTCATATTTAGATATTTTATTTGAAAAAGACGTTAATGGTAATCTAACAACAAAGTTTTATGATAAACGTGATGACTGTAACTTTTTAATAACTTTGCAATGAAGCTAAAATGATATTTTTTATTCAGGCATTTTATAATTTTTCTTTAATTAAAGGGATTTTAAGTGAGGAAAGTATAGTGCATGTACATGTTACATATATTATATGACATTCACTTTTTAAAGGAATACAATTGCTAATAAAATGTTATGTATAATATCATATGTTGTTAAAGCATTTCATGCCAAAATATTATAAAAGCGGAAACTGCTATCTAATGTTTTAAATAAGTTACAAATTTCGGGACGAGTTTGGTTAACACCTTCTCCCTAGCTTGTCCTACCTTCTTCCATTAACCATCATTCTCTCCATGTCAGGAGCCTGGGCATCTCTTTTCCATTTGGTCCGGTCTGAGGCTGCTGCACGGCGTATCATGTTCTAACGTAGGAGTTCCAGCCAGCATTGTTTCGCTCAACCTCCAACACCCGTTTACATGTTGTCTTTGGGCGGCTTCGCTTATTTCTCCAATCAGACGTCCACCCTAAAACCATAAAATAGTCATCCGTGGGAACTGGCCTTTCTAAGTACCGTGTAAATGGCCGATCTAATTCCATCTCCTCCTCCTCATTTCGCTACTGATGTTTTCTGCTTCTGTCATCTCCAGATATGTCTTGTTTATGATATGTTGCTGCCATCTGATTTTAAGGATCTTTCTGGTGCACTTCTCTCTAAGATTTCAATCTTCTTCTCACATCCGTACAACAATACAGTGAGGACTAATCTCTTAAAGAGCAAGGGAGACTTTTATCTTTCTACTGATGTCTATAGTGTTCCAGGTGTTGCCTAGCCTCTAGACTGCTGGTGGGTTTGGGGACATTATTTAAAATCTAAAATACACCGACGGTAAACATTTGTAATCAACTGCTACAATCTGAGGTTAAAAATGGGAACGGATCTTCAGAAAAAGAAGGGGTGTAATCATGGTATTATAAGGAGATTTCAGCATAGGGACAAGCTTAGCTGCAGATCTGTAGCGTTATGGTTTTATATATTTGTCTTTGACCATAACGCTACAGATCCCGTAATGCAAAAAAGGTGCAATTTACGGCGCAACATTTGTTGCGCACTTTTGGGGAAAATTTCTTCACTTTCCAGCATCGGTCAATTAACTACATTCACTCCTTAATTCTAGGTACATTATTTAACTAATCTTATTATTTTATCCATCTCCCAACCATTTATAATTAATAATAAAGCAGCTGTCACTTGTAGAGACAATTATAAATGGTTGGGAGATGGACTTCCATAAGGCGCTACCTATCGACAACGGAAACTTCAACAAAGCCTCTACCTAGTACCTATGATTTGTTTCTAACACATATAACATATGTTAAATAAAATCAAGACTATCAAAACAACATAATCTTTCGGTTTTTTAATTTTTTTCTGATTTTGTTTGTCAATGAAATAAATTTATAATTGTTGTATTAAAAAAAGTTTATGTATAGGAGCATTTGGTGTCGAGATTAAATTTCCGTGACATCAGCTGATGGCGATCGGACCCTGAGTCAGCATGAAGTTTAGCTGATAACATTATCAACGCGTTAGATTTAAACTTTAGGAAGAAATGTATAGCGAGAAATATCATATTTGAACCCAATGCTACACGAAAACCAGTAGGCATTTCCGATTTATGTGTTAAATTGAAGCCTGAATCGAACAGGTGGTCAAAATGGCGTTGGACACCTTGTGTATTTATATATAGAGGGGGTAGAATGTTTCGATATTTGGCTAATTTAGAGACTGATAAAAATTCAGGTGCCTGTGATTAATTATAAGGCACCCCTCATGAACAATAAATATTTGACCGAATTATGCTACTGGGCACAGGGAGGACGGGTTAATTACTGGCTAAAGGGGTTGAAGGTTATTACCGACTGCAAAACATCGGAGAATCTCTCGATCGAGTTTCATTTTCCAAAATATTAAGGCATCCCTTTAATTAACTTAACTAATACTGGTACACGAAGAAAGCCTTTATATAAAAATATTGAATACATCTGTAAGTTGTACAGTTATGGATTACTTCCATAATGAAACGTTTGTTTTCTTCTCCTTTTTTTCTCAATTGAAATTTAATTTAAAAGATGATAAAAGCTTTGTTTCCAGGGATAAATTCTGTACTCAGTCTAATTATTACAAACGATTTTAATAAAAAAAATAATGGGAGCCTGAAAATACAAAAATTAATTTTAAAAAATTGGAGAAAGAAATTTAATCGGCATTCGATCCTTTTCTAAAAAAATCAGCCGATATAAAATATGCACAGAAAAAAAGAGGCATGAAAAACCTTGACGATAAGCACAAATTGAAAATTATATCTAATGAATGATTATTTTTGAAAGTTTGCAAAATTCCTTTGCAAGGTATAAGTTGTAAAAATACTTTTTAAATTTGAATTTGTCAAATTTGTTAATTATCATTTTGAGCCTTTGAGAAGAAATAAAAATTAAAATACAGATGCTTACAGACATATTGATAGAAATTCGCATACTTGTTTTTAGTAAAAAAAAAAAACAAAAAAAAACGAAAACAATGTATTGCTTTTGCGACATATTGAAGAAAGTGACAATGATACCTAGGTAATTCTTGCAATGGACAATTAAATTGTTTGTTATACACTGACTTTTAGTGAACCTTTGAATTTTTGAAATACTAGTATTGATGGATTAAACAACAACTTTCCTTTTCACACGTTTTTTTTTTTTTTTTTTTTTTTTTTTTTTTTTTTTTTTTACAATATTTCATGAAAATTATTTGCCAAATACTCGGTATATGTTCGTTTATACATATCGTTCAAGACTCTTTTTTAAATAATTGTCATATACCATTTACTCATTCGAACATTTAAGTGTATGAAAAGTCAATAATGTACATTTCTTAAAACTTTATTATCTTGTTTAATTGTCTTTCTTCCTGTGACAGAAATAGTTCATAATATTAATAAACAGATGTACTCAGTATCTGTATCAAAATACAGAATGAACAGTGATCGGTCTCAAAAGAAAAACGGATCCTTGAAAGTTCCGGTGCCTAGGAGAAGTAAGCATCCCCAATGACAGGTCACACCTGCTGACCCGCAGTGAGCCTACGAAACTGCAGCTCTCTGAAATTAATTAATTCTCTGCTCGTCCATCCGTTTTTCTCAGACTAGCCAGCTAAAGATCTATGTACAGTACTCCAAAATCAATTAATCTAAAGAATTTGAATTATCATTTTATTTTCTTTTTGAGTTGTTTGCTATAGTAGCCTTTACAGTTACCTAATTTCAGATTCAATAGAGCATGAAAGCCAATTAAATTTGCAACATCAACATAATTTGTTTTTTGTTCTGAGCACTTTTGGACACCACCAATGGAGACAATTAGGGAGAAATTTTTGAAATTGAACTTCCTGTCTTTCAAACTGAAAATCTCAGGTTGATATATTGAAACAAACATTTGTGACATCAGTCTGGGATGTTATTGGTTATACCATTTAGTTAAGTACTACAAAATTCAGTGTGTCTGCTTCTTCGCTGATGACACTGGAAAAAGATATGCATGCCTACTTTAATATCATGATTCAATGCATTTTTTGTTATTGTACACTGTACATATTCGATGAAAGCACGCTAACCGCTTTTCAGTACTTTCAGTACTTTGATTTTTTTTATTTGGCGCCACCGTTTGTCGCACCAAGGGCCATAACTCTAGATCACTTCCGGAAAATAATGTATCGAGAATGACATTGAGTACAGCAACAGAATTTTGGTTTTGTTTCAGGGACCTTGTTTATCGTTAGATTTTACAAGTGGAGAAACGATACAGACGCATAAAATTCATTTTTATGACTATATGCAGCAATGTTTCGATTAAGCTTAAGATGTTATTTTCGAAATGGAATCTATTTTTGACTCGCGTGAGGAGTAAACAATATTGACCGGATGTTTACATAATTTTTCCAACTTTCATTTTATCCAGGTAATTAAAATAAGAAAAAAGTTATAAATTAGTCACATGAATATTAGCATCCATAATTTTATCGAGGGATTGTTTATAGAAGAGCTTGATGAAATGACAATTTATATATATATTTTTTTTTAACTGTAGCTGTAGATCTACATCAGTCCAGTCCAATACGAAAAATCGTAATGTTACAAAAAATTGTAATATTACCAGATATCGTAATATTACAGAATATCGTAATATTATTCTTTTATTACTATTTTTCGTAATATAGTTAAATTACGAAAACTCGTAATATAGCATGTTGTGAGAGACTATATTACGAGTTTTCGTAATGTAAGATATAATTAAGCATTGAAAGAAACTGAATGATGTTAAGGAAAGTATGACGTCAGAAATACATTATGCCCCAATGGTAGTAGTATCACGTGGTCATTTTGGTCAGTGACGTCTATCGAAAAGTACGAAAACGCAAAAAGAAAGTAACAATAGTAATGGGTGAGTTAAAATTTTGTATTATTATTCTTATATAAGAATTTTCCCAGGGATGGGAACAATTTTCCATAAAACTTCAATGTATCCTCAAACTTGTCACAGTGTTCTATAATCCCCGAATTCCCTATATTTTTCCCGAAGTCTTCCCTGAAAATTAGACCCTCATCTCCAACAATGAGATGTTACGGGATATAACTTGTACAACTTTCACTAGGCTCTGACTCTGCATGCCCTTGGATCAAATGCATCAAAACAAAGAAAATGCATGCATATCCACGATGATTTGATGAAACCAGAGACATATAATCTCTGATGAAACATAACAACTGAAGGAGGTTGTATCAGAAAAAAGGAAAGTAACTCTTAGAAGAGTTAGAAATTGCTTATATTACGAATTTTAGTAATATTACGATTTTTCGTATTGGACTGGACTGTACATATCAAGTGCTTATGCTGACATATATATTTAATAGTATATTACTTACCTGTATACCCTACTTTTATTCTATGTAGACAGTATTAAATCAAACAACAACCATGTTGGGAATAGTAGGAAACACCTCCATGTCTAACAGTACGACCCCGAGTAAAGACTTCATAATGGCTGGCTGCTTAATTAATTTCAACACAGTGGCATGCATAAGGTGGGTAAATTCAAAAACTTTCAGAATCAGTCTAGTTTTTTATAGAGACTGCATGCATTTATATTTTTTCTATTTAGTTTATTGATTCAAACTAAAATTGTAGAATCTTTCATTTTTCATCTTTCATATCTGAATTTGGGATCCACACTTTAAGCTGTCGTCATAGCACAATTTTCCGGACAAAACAAAGATGTGTGAAGTGCATGCTAATTTTTTGCTTAGATCACTGAAAATGAAACTTAACTTTGCTTTTAATGTATTTTTACATTCTCTTTTTTAGGAGCTCTATTTTGACTTTCCTAGCAGTTGTTACGGGGATAGTCTGTATATTTAAGGTGGTGCGACTCCACTTAATGCACCACCCAGCGTGGCACCAGTATGTGATCTTCTACACCGCTTCACTGGAGTGCACTATTGCGTAAGTCAATGATGGAGCACAATTGTTAATTTAGATCAATGCATATATACATATAAATTGAGAAGAGGAGTTGAAGTATGGAAATTCAGTTTTGTCTTAAAATTTTGTGTTATTAATTTAACTTAGCGGTGTACACTGGGTTTTGGTCCAGTACGCCCAGATGGACTTTGTCCTACAGTAAAATGTTTTTTTTTATATAATTTAGCGGTGTACACTGGGTTTTGGTCCAGTACGCCCAGATGGACTTTGTCCTACAGTACCTGAAGTTGATCCAATTCCTTGTCATGTGTCACTTCTACTGGACGCTGGCCACTAGAGCTCTCAGGAGAGAAAGACTCACTAAATGGTGATTTATTGATAAACTTATTTTAACACATTCTTGTCAGGTTCATACAAGAACTTATCAGGCTCATACAAGAAATGCAATAGCTTATCACTGTAATGTTTCTTGACAAACATTAACGCCAGCTTTTTTTCTTGTATAATTTTCAAAGTTTAACAATATAAATGGTCTAACTGTCACATAATTTTAAAAAGTATATTCAAAAGGTTTTTTAAAAAAAACCATTCCTTGATAGAGTATATTAATGTAAAGTTTTTAAGAAAATTGATGATGAGTGCTTTATTTTGCTGTCTATAGGTTTTTGATTCCATTCCTGATTTTGGTGTGTGTTTACTTCACCGTCATAGCCACCCTTGGAATAGTCAATGTAGAACCTGCCATCACAGAATGTTTACGTGAGTGTCACAAAGGACATTAGAAAAATTAGTTGCAAAAAGTTTAGCAAATGTAAAATTTATTCATTCCAATTAAGATAACTTTTTGAATTAAAAAAAGTTAAGTATAATGCAGGTTTTATTAATAAGCTTTTTCAAATGGCATAGAACTTTCGTAGTATAGTATCCAATTTCCCAACAACAACATTACAACAACAATAGCTAGGTTTGATGGAATAAATTTAAAGCTTGATCATAATCTTTCTTCACTTGTGAGTCATAAAACAAAAAAACATTTTTACACTAAACTTTTATCAGTATATTCATCTACCTCTAATAAGGTCTTTATTAGGGATGTCAAATCGGTCAATTTTTAATACTCGGTTACTCGGACGTTTTTCCGAACGAGTACTCGGGTACTCGGTAAAAGTGTAAATATGAAAAAGTAAATTGATAACTGTAAAACATATTGTAAACTATGGTAGAAATTAAACTTCTTGCTCTGATGGGAGGTTTCCCGCAAATGTGTTTCTGTTTTAACAATTATCAACACTTCTTGCCCGACGAAATTTTTAAATATAACATTTTTTAAAAGTTCAATTTATTCATCAGATAAACACACAAAATCAAATCACAAATGGTTCACAGTGTTTTTGTTTAGACAAATAATCTGCATCGTAATTGTAATGTAACTCTTGGTTGCGTTTGACGTCCAAGTTTCAATCGTCAGAGCTACAGTATCAACTTGATCAAGATCAAACAGCGGATTTACGATCTTCTTACACTTTTTCGATCCTAGACTTAATAGCATTACGGGACGGTATGTTGTAGTTTGGTGTAACGATGGACATCAGTTTTTTTAAGTCTTTGCCTTCAACCATTTGCCTTTGCATGTAATCAAACGCAACCATATCAACGATCGCACGTGTATTGTCATCTGTCTCTTTTCCCGAGAGTTTACAGCTTCGTGGAGAAATGACAAATTTATCTAAATTATTTAATTATAATTGACCTTAAATGATGTTCAATGAAAACAAATCATTAAAGCAAAGCAAAAATAAGGGCAGAAGACTATCGAAGGTGAGAAAAGCCAGGTAGCAAGTGCTTGGTCACGATAATTACTGTATAAACACTGCCACAGGCGATAACGGTCATTTAGAGGTGTGGGAAACCCTAATTACCGTATATACAAGTGCAATGAATATTTTCTGTTTAAAACCGATGTCTTAATGCATTAATGAATTAGCTTAGAAATATTCAAAAATATACATCCGAGTAACCGAGTACTAATTTTAGTATTCGATACTCGGACGTTCGATCGAGTACCCGGTTAACCGGGTACTCGTTGACATCCCTAGTCTTTATAAATGACTTTTCTTTTGACTTTGATATATGAATTCCATTTTTGACATTTACTGCAATTTTTTCTTTAAAAATTAATGGTAATGATCGTGATTACGTTTCAGAGCCTTATTGGTTGGAGTTATCTGGGGCAGAGTTTGCCACTGTTCAGTTATTTATGGTCGCTGGTTTCTACATCACTCGTCGCCTTAATGAGATCAGTACCCTCGATTCTGTCAGGTGGTCTCAGAAGAGAGACCTCTGGTGGTAGGTTCAGGCATCATAGTGGTGCTTTATCATGTAGACTCTATTAGGGATCACATTGGATCTTCATCATTTCTCATTAAGTGGGATATATATTAACAAAATTAATGAAATACTACTAAAACAAACTAGGGAGAGAAATTGAGGAATTTTTTAATATGTTTAGGAATATATGTTTACCTTGACTTTGACATTCTCAGAGATCTCATATATAAATTCAAATTATAAAAAAATCAAAGCAATACAGTATAGATAATATATAATAATAATATATAAATATATATAAATTAAAATTGTCTTCTTAGCCCTACATATCATTCTGATGTTTATTTGAATATCTTGATTTTACAGAATATTTTACTCTTTTTTTCAGCATCATCATTGTTTTTGAAATCTCAGCCTTCATCGGATTCATGTATGATCTAACACTTCAGATAAGTAAGTATCTTAATAACATCATTTACTTTCAAATTAAGGATCATAAAGATTTTTTTTTTCATTTATCAATAATGTTATTGTTCATTACAGTTGGAAATGAATCAAATGGATGTGGAAACATATTTGTAAGTATACATTTTACAGAAAGATCAAAATGAAAATATCTAAGGCAAAAAAAAAAATAATTTCTTGGTTCTCAGGCCCTCTCTCATCTCTTCCAAGGGTGCCTCATTGACCCTTTTTATTGCTAAATCAATAAAATAAAAACAACAAATCACCTCCCTCATCATTTTTTGAGGTTTTGTACAATGTAAAAAGCTGCCTCATCATGTTTTGGGGGCAATAAAAAAGAAAAAAAAATGCCTCCCTCCCTCATCATATTTCTTGAAAAAACCAAAACTGAGAACCAAGTAATTAACTTTGCATGGCCTAATGAGTTATTATATATAGAGAGAATGAAGAATATTAGTGTCTGAATAAATTGCAAAATACTGAGCTTACTGAAATGTCCAGAATTTTGATTCATGGTTGAAAATCTTTTGTGCACATTGTAGGGGAGTTTGTATGTCTTTATTAGCTTTGGTAGCAAATTTACTGTAATATGTTGACATTCTTTCTTTCAGGGTGGCAAAGAAGAGCTCTTTTCATCTGTTTTTCTGGTATTCATGGTAAGTATGGAGAGAGAAAAACAACAAGGAAATGTTTGTAAAATAGAAGCACTCAAGATCTGAATATGAGTTTTATTTTATGAGTATTTTGCAAGTACATGTAAACAAAACCGAAAAATTGCAATGAAAACTGAAAATTCTTGTATCAAGGTTATTTAGCCTATTTTATTTGACAAGTTTATGTACTTGTTGTATTTTACATTTACCATATAAGTTGGTTTATAGCGAGGATTTAATTTTGGCATTATTAGCGAGGGTTCCAAGATCGCTAAAATTGAATATCGTTAAAAAATTTTTGCACTTTATTTGTAATAGCTTCTTTAGTTTTTTTTTTTAAATAATCACTAAAATTACATCTCGCTAAAAATGAAATACCAATTTTAAAGAAATATCGCTAAAATTGTGTCTCGCTAAAATTTCCACTTACAAAGGTATATATTGACTAAGATACAAAATTAGTTGTATCATAAGTCATTAGTTTGTTCTTTTATGTTGTAGGTTCTCAAACTTTTGCTGCCTATCTGGGTTATGTTGTTTGTGTTTCAAGCCACCCCCGTTGTAAATGAACCAGATGATTTGGTACCAGCTCTCAGTGATGATGGGGTAAATATATTACAACACTTATTTAATACACATAACACATCAAAAGTATCTTTACGTGAACAAATTTAAATATATTTAACTTGAAGGGTGATTTCATAAGGAACTCCTATTCTGTAAAGAAATTATTAGATACAGCCTCTCCATCAATTTTGCTTCTCATTACAATTGAAACTAATAAAAAAAAATTGTGTTTTTGATTGCTAAAACCAAATCAAATTCTATAGCTTCTGAATTGATGATATTTTATTTGAATTGTTCTCATTATGTAAAATTTAATATTTTGCAAGTTCATCTAGTTTGAGAGAGATGCTTTTGTAAGACTATAAAATATGTCTGTTTTCATTCCCAGAATTCCTTGTTTGGGAGTATAGACGACCATCAGTATCGACAGCTGTACCACCCGACTGAGGATTATAACAGCTTCAGGGATAACTCCCCCTCCCCAAATCGCCCCTCCGTCAACATCACAAAGAGCAGTTCCTCCAATCTGGACCCGATCAGGGAGGAGGGGTCGTCTGGCTCGGACCAAAATAGGACGGCCACCAGAGGGCGTAGTCAGCCACAACGAGGCCCAGAGGCCATCGTTGCCACCCGTCCACCCGCAGAGGATGAGAGAGAAACGCCCCCTAGTCAGAGAGGAAAGTTCTATATATAGGACAAGGTCTACTTCATTGATACTGGCGTATATTATCACAAACTGTTAATTTTGTTGAGATGTGAGAAGTCTTTAAAGCTATGTTGCAATATTGAACATTGTTTGGTTTTATATTTTACTTTATTTGTTGTGAGATAGACTAGGATGAAAGAATGATTGTCTTTAGTGAAAGGACATTTGAATTTTTAAGATCTGTAAATTTTGTACATTTCTATGAATTGGTTAAGAAATGTTTGATATAGTTAATGCTACACCTGTGGAAGAGTTAATTGTTGTGTAATTTTGCACTGTGTCATTAGATGTATATATATACATATATTAAATCATATAAATGTACAGCTAAGTTCAAGTCAAGGCAGTTTATAATTATGCAGTAATTATGTATAATAATGTAGTTTTTAATAGAATAATAAGGTTGTCTCTTGTGTGTGTTTGTATAATTCTTTTTTTTGAGTTGGCTCGCGTAGCGAGCTACTCTTTGTTGACGCAGCCGTTTCAGAGCTGTAAAATTTTCCACGCATTCATCAAGGTGATCCATATACGCCAGATATGATAGTTCTAGCAAAAATGCTTTTATTTGAGTGATTGTATAAACTAGGAGGCAAAAACTGTATAAAATTTCATACTGTAACCTTATTTATGTCTTCATGCTTTTAAAGAATTTTTTGATTAAGTATTTAATTGTACATGTACAATTACTGCGTATGAATATATGTTCAACTTCAAGCATGTTAGGCGGATCTAATCTTCCCATCTGAAGTTTATGTATAATTGACCTACAATACTCCGTAACACAAACACCTGCTGCTCTCATTAACTGCAGCTAGTGTGCTTGAAAAATGTATTTTTAAAATCCAGATTTGCTGTGGGAATCTTTAAACTAATTACTCCTTAACACTGACCACTTCAGCTAGTATGCTTAAGGTTTCACCAAAGGTCAGCATGATCAAAAATTCATTTTTACAATACCTCCAAAACTATATGATTTATAATGTGAAAACTTTTACAGTTTATAAATTTATATATCATTGATTAACAGATGGAAAGTATCACTTGATAACAAATACTTAAAAAAGAATATTTATCTAGAAAAATTATTTTTTAAAAATGCATATACTATTACAAAATACACCTAAGTACATCCGAACTTTTAGTGAAATGCATTATTGCAGAAACAAAATATATATGTTTATCAATGAAGGGCAAGTAGGACTTCGATAACCTCTGGAAAGTTGTTTTCCCTGTTTATTTTGTCCAAATGTTAAGACTTGAAACCGAAAGCACACTGCAAATGGCGGAATTTATGGGGGTTTTGTCTTTATACATATCATACTTTCAATGACAGCCTTTCAGAGACCATTCACGTCCAACTTGCCCTTCATTGATAAACATTTATTATTTCTACAATTGTGGTTTTCACTAAAAGTACAGCATTAAACATGTGCATTTTTAAAAAATATCTGCAAAATTTTTAATTTATTTTTTTCTCAAATCATATTTTTTCAAATATTTGTTTTCAATTGACACTTTCTATCTGTTAATCAATGATATATTTATACTCTGTAAATGTTTTAATTTTATACATCACATAATTTTGGAGCAATTGTAAAAATAAATTTTTGAACATGCTGACCTTTGTGAAACCTTAAATTCATTATGGAATCCAGGTTTTTGCTTTTCACAATAATATGTACGGAAGCCAATTAGTGCCAACCTGTATATTTAAATAGGAAAGGCAATATACACGTTATTTTTTAACCGAACATGGAGACATATTATATTTAATTTCTTAAGATGCAAAATAAACTGAATATAAGGTATGGTGTCCAAATGTATGAAAAAAAAGCTCAATTAACTCGAGCGAGTCAACTCGCAGGCCCTTCAGGCCTTTGATTTTTTTTTTGGAATACTGGGCATAAGGAAGATGAATGAAAAAGAACTTGATGAGATCTTTTCGAAAATTGACATTATGAGGGATCTAGAAAAATTGCTGTTGAAGTTAAAATCTAAGATTACATTATACAATTTTAAGTTCCTTATTATTCTAGCTGTTTTCACAGCACACATTCAGGATTATATACATTGTATATTAATTTTTTGTTGAAGATTTAATGATATTTGTACTTTCTTCTAACGCTAGTCTCATTCTATAATGTTAGTAATTACTGTTCTATTACACATGTATAAATAACCCGCTTCCAATACATATCTGTTAATTACATAAGAAAGACAGAAATGGTTATTTTTAATCTTTCTTGTTTTTTTTTTATTGTAATAGCATTCAGTGAATGTCATTTGTTCAATTTTGTAAAATGCTTTATACAGAAATAAATTTTGGAGGATAAT